TCAAAGAATATAACTTATTTATGGGATAAAATTGTTTCCAATAAATGTTTGGCTAGAAATGTTTCTAATATCGWTTCAGCACAATAATGTTGAAATATATATCCTAATTCAATTTTACACTTTAGTTGAATATTTTAAAATTATACGTATTAAGAAGAAAAGTAATTTTATTAATGGCGTTTTGAAACACATAAAAATATAATTTTATATATGTGCATATATTGCACGAAATATATATGTATACATATCGTCATTTAAAATGCAAACCAACTTCAACTTTCAACACACTTTAAACGCCTTAAAACATTCGTTTTGCAGTATTTTGAATAAAATAATAAAAATTAATTCAAAATTAATAACTATAACTCTTCAAATATATTTAAAAATATTTATTTATTTTTTTAWTTTAAGCACTTGTTCAAAATTTAAATTAAGAAAACACAACGTCTTCATAAGCATCAAATAGTATATGTATATTAATGCTYTTTTAAGTATTAGGCATCACTTTATATATAAAAAAACATTAAGTAAATTCATTTAGTTCACATTTCAGTATTATATGTAGTAAAAATTTACATATAGTAAATTTGTTTGTATTGTAAATGATTGAGAAGTTCACTTTGCAATGTCACCGTGTGGTGAAATGCGCCAGATGGGCGGCTAGGCGGAGCAAATTGTGTATATATTTTGTTTAAATTTACTTTTGAGGTATATGATGTTATATTTTTTTGTATGATTTTTAGTAAAGTGCAACAAAAGTAGTAAATACAAGACACAATGTTTCGAACTATGTTTTGTTCATACTGGCCGGCTGTCACGCCACACATAACTTCTATTACAGCAAAGTATAATTAAGTAAAAAAAATTCTGCTGTTGCCGTTATTGCTACGTACAAAATATAAGGAAAGAATTTTGTAAAAATCGGGTTATAAAAATTGTTTTGTTCGATTGCGAGAATACGGATATTTTGGTAAATTTTTGGAAAATAATTTCAATTAACAGAGTTTAGTTCGTGTTTTACAATAAAAGTTTTTTTTTTTTACTGTTTGCTTATTATTTGTAGAAATGTACTTATATATATTTGATAAATTT